GAGAGCTGAGGGAAGGCGTGGTTAGCACAGTTACACCTGAGAACTTGAACTGTCTTCTGGCTAAGTGGGTGTGTGCACAGACTCCTAGTGCAAGACCTTCCCAGAGATGAAGAAATAATTTGGTGTTTTTGTTACACTGCCTCTCAGTGAGCTCCCAGTGAGGAGGAAGGCAAGGTGATAATGGCATGGGGAACCAGCACCAGCCTGGTGGGTGACACAGACCCTCCCACCAACCATTAGCAGGAGGATGGAGGTGACTCTTTCTTCACCTTCGTATGAGTGGATGCTGGGAACAGCCCTGGGGAATAAGGAACCTGTCCTGTCAAACAGTACCTACACCTGTAGCAAGACAGGATGTCAGCAACTGATTCTGCAAATCCGGTGTCAGTGTGAGTAGCTGTCTTATGGTCTTATATACACTCTGGAGATGGCTCCACCTGCATGAGCAGTGGTACACACCTCCGTTGGGTTGGCACAGTCCTGGATCAGTGCTGGGACATGTGTGCAAAAAGCCCTTGGGCCCCTGCTAGCAACCTGGGGCTGCTTTTTTGAGGCCTCTGCTGGCTCACACTCCTGGGCAACCTGTGGCACTCCTATGTAGGTTCCCACTGACAGGTCACTCTACACATCAATGGAGAGGGAAAACATTATTTCAACTGCTTGTTATTAATTATTTAAATATGGCAGTATTACTGATATGGATTAGGCTTTGAGTTTTATCAGGAGAGCGTAGCCTGTGTCCTGTGAGAAGAAGCAAGATGCCCAGTCTATCCTCACATAATGTGTGCTGCCTGGGGAAAGTGGAGATGGGTGTCTGAGAGCTAATGACCAAGTCTTGGCTACAGGGCTGGGGGTGGGAGTACAAGGACTCTTGGGAGTGGGTGCTGAGGTACACAGCTGTTGCAAGATGGGTTTAAAGCAGAAGCCTGACAGGTTGAAGTTTGTGGTTTCAGTTTTAGATGTCAGTGGATGCTTCCTTCACTACTTCACTCAAGAACAAGGTGGTGCCTGACCACACCTGCACTCCTTTGTCATCCCTTGGTATCTCACTGTTTCCTCTCCTTTGCTTTCTATCTGGTATATCTCCTCTTTCTCCTGACGGTTTGTTTCCCTGTCCATGGCAGGTTCCTCATCTCTACAGCGTGCCCCAGCTATCTTGGCAGAGATGTCAAACCTTGCATCCCCTGCCTGACACAACTGCCTGTTGCACTGGGGTTCCTTCGATCCAAAAACAGTGTCATGTTTACATAAGGTTGTGAATGTTCAGATGTACCTGAATACAGCTCAGTGGGGCTGTTCATACAAGTAGAACTCTGCTGCTTGCTGGTCCTTTTCCTAATATAAATTAAGATAATTAGGCTACATTTTAAATTCCAGAACTAGGACTGGCTGTTGAACCTTTATAATGGTGAGAAATAATTATTTTCCTTTTAACGTTTTTATAGTCCCTCTCTCCTGGAGACCTCTTGCTCCTGCCAAGCAGGACTGTGTGACTGAAGTGCTAGCCAAGCTTCCAGACAGCTGGTTTGGCAGAGACCTGGTGGCTGAAGCCAGCCTCAGCAGACAATAGGTGGGGAGCCAGCTCAGGTGGTGGCCTGCAGCTGCTGCTCCACTCCCAACAGTAAATCATAGTGGGGACTCACCTTCAGAGCTGAGGCTCAGGAAGTGCAGGAACTCCGCTGTTCCCCCAGTGTGCCTGCCCCGGGCACAGGGCAAGCGAGGAGAAGTGCTCAGAGGATGGACATCTGCAGGCTCCTGGTCCATCTCCCGGTTGCTGCGTGGCAAACAGGCCGGGCTCTCTGCTGTGCCTGTGAGGGAGGCAGAAAGGGCTGTGCCAGGGATGCTCCCCTCGAGGCTCAGCTCTGTTTAGCTTAAGGAGCTTATGGGGTTGAGCTGGCAGTTAAGGTGGAGAGGATTATTCTCAGTTGAGTTTGCTTTCTGTAGTGCTGAAGAGAAAGCTGCACATCTTCACCTTGTACATCTCTTTCTTCCATAGCAAGACCAATGGGGCAGATTGCACAGATGCACTTCTAATAAGAGTGTTCATGTTTTCTGGTCTCAGAGACCCAGCCCAGGGGGCAAGATGGTACCGCAGTGCAGTGCAGGGGCAGTGCCCAGCGATCAGTGTTTCTTCCTCAGTGCCTCGGTGCCTGTTCCTGCCCCAAGGTGTGTGTCACCCTTGCACTGGGAGCCTCTGGTGGGCCCAGGGCTGTTCTGAGGGGTGTGAAGTGGGCTGCAGGGCCCTTTTCCAGGTCTGGGCGCTCACTGGGCAGCTGGGTGCTCAGCGTGGAGCTTTTACAAGTCTAGGAGATGCTCACGAGTGTCACCTGAATCCAGAGAGGAGGGGAAAGCTAAAAGCAGGTGGATCATCTGAGGTTTGCCCTTCTCCTCTCCTGCTATCAGAATAACTTGCCTGATAAGGCAGTAAATCTTTACAGGAGCCCAGCAGTGAGGAAAAGGGTCGTGGAGGAGAACTACATAGCCCCAGCTAGGAGCCTATGGGTTAACACAGCAGCCATGGGGCTGGAGTCACCCCAGGCTGCAGGACAGCCCCCATAGAGCAGCCTTCAGAGGGAACAAAGTACCTTCTGCCTAGCTGGGGCGCAGAGAAAAGATCCCATGGCACTTCTTGTGAAGCCTGGAGGAGACTGCCAGTGCTGAAGCTGAGCTCTGCCAACAAACAAAACTGTCTTTAAACTCTGAGGCTGTGTGTGAGCTATTGTTGGGGACATAATGGCTTCTCTGTTTCCCTGCTCAGTCATTGCTCTGCAAACACGCCACTGGTCTCTTTTAAAAGTAGCTGAATGTAAATCAAGTTCTAGAACCTGGAAAGAGGTTTCATCCATTTACCTTTTACTGCCCTCAGTTGACACTTGTTTACAGAACAGCACATACAGTAGATTTACACCCTGGTTTGAGCTGCTTTGCTTGGGGATGGACATCTTTAGAGCTCAGACTCACAGGCTTGGATAGCAAATATGTATCTCCTAATTTAAATTAAGCAGGAGCGGGGATGAGGGGCAGTGTTTGCTAATCTCCTCCCTCTGAGAAAAGTTTTGGTTTGGCTGGCTGGTTTCCTCCAGTTAGCCGAGCCCTGGCACGCTCACAGCTCCCTAGTCCTGCGCGTGCTGCTCTGCCTGCTGGAGTCTGCTCGCTCCCTTTGGGCTGTTGCACAGCCGTGGAGGGTGGGCTTGGTGGATCCACTCTTCACATGCTATGCCATGGATTGGCTTGTCTCTGAGGATGGCAGATGCTTCAGTAAGGTAAAGGGCATCTTGGCTAGTGCGTAAGTACAGTAGTGATGGTGAAATCCCAGAGCTGTACTACACAGGGAGAAGTTGGGCCCTGAAGGCAGTATGATGAGTTTAGGTCTTTTTTTTCTGGGACAGTCCTTTAATGGGAAAGGAAATGGGTCAAAGAATAGGTGTTTGAGCTGTATTTCATGAGCTGTCAGTCCCAACATGGTGGCAGTGACTCTGTCCACTCAGTAGGTCTTGACTCATCCTGGTGTGTATCTGGAAGCTGCTCGCCAGAGAGCTCTTTGGTGCTCTGTGCTCACTCACAGGAGAACTGTAACCCTGTGCACCCCAAGGGCAGCTGTGTGCAGGACTGGGAAACATGGAGACATGAGCACTGGCCAGCACCCTCTGGAAGTGGCAGGCTCATTGGAGAGGTGCTCTGGCCAAGGGCCCTGAACAGGAAGGGATGCTGTGCTCACATGGAGCGTGCCAAATAGCTTTGGCCAAGGTTGCTTGCTAATGGCTAAGATGTGTTTTGCACTGGTCATTGACGATCTTCTGGATGGGGATTCCTTCACAGACAAGGTGCTTAAAAGCAGATTATAAGAAATTAAATTTTTTAAAAAGTTTTGCTCTGAAGATGATGTCATGACTAATGCCAGTTATGTTCTGCTCCTTGGATTTCCCTTCTGACCTATGAATCTGCTGCGGTTTTTAGTGTGTAAGGTTTCCTGCCTGCTATCAGACAGGTTCTTACCCAGGTGATAGCTGTTTGCTTTCATTGCTGGTACCCTAACTCTTTAGACCGGTTACCAAAGGGCTTCCAGGATTCCCTGGGGTGCCCACCAAAGTAGATCACTGCAAATAGGATGGCAGTGTGGGTAAAAGGGACACTGGGAAAAGCTTGAAGTTGCTAGAAAGTTCTGCACAGACAGGGGCATAGAGAAGTGCTACCAGCAGTGCCTGTAGAAAAGGTCTGGATGTGGATCTGAGTGACTAAGTATTTGAGAGACTCTCTCTGTGAGAGGTTCAGGGGAGGAGGAAGCTGTTCACTGCCCACAGCTCAGAACTCATGGAAAACTGCTAAAAAGCAAGGGCTGGAAAGATGGGAAGAAGTCGTATGTACAACCTCACTCCGTGGCTATAAAGCAGGGAGGAAGAGGTCATCACAGATGGCTGCTGACCTGGCAAAGCCACCCTGCCTCCAGAGTGTGGGCAGGATGCAGTCCTTGACTCCATCACGTTACAAAGGGAGACAAAGCACCTGCCAGCTGGTGTTGGAGGGAAGGATCTGGTAAAAAGTCTCCCATTGGTATTGCTGACTTGATTTGGGAACTAGAACTAATCCAGCCTGACCCTGGGCCCCTGTCCTCCCAGGCAGAGCAGTAACTTAAATGCTTGCTGAACATCTAAAATCCTCAGAGCGTAAAGTCACAAAGAGCAATCAGTTGTCCTGTCACCTCTGAAAGGTAACTGTAGCAGGACATCTTGAACATCCCCTCACCTCTTGATATTCTACTTCACTTCAAAGCAGGACATCACCCTGATGGAACTGTCAAGGCCAGAACTGGGCTCTCCTGGCCACTCCTTCCCAAGCCACTGCTCTCCATGCACAGAGCTGCCAGGAGGGTAGAGGGGGAAACAGTGGATTTGAAGGGAGGCAGATCAAAAGATTGCTCTTGTGCCAGATCATCCACCTCCTGTGTTCCCACGTGCCCCAGAAGCAGCGAGGCTGACGACCCTGTCTCTTCCCACAGGAAGATGAAGAAGCGCTATGTGGTGGCCGGAGTCCTGACTGCAGCCCTGCTGGGGCTCATCTTGTTCCTGGGACTCTTCTTTGGGCTGCGCCCTGACTCAGGGGACACTCACACTTATAAGAGGGCAGCGGTGGCTACAGATGCAGGGGAGTGCTCAATAATTGGAAGGTACCTGCTGTGAATCGTGCTGTGACTCTCGTTAGCTCTGACAGCTTTCTGAAAGACACCACTGTTGTTTCCCCAGTGTCCAGGCACGAGCCTGGCAGTTGCCCAGCACAGATAATCTCTAAGCTCCCTCTAGAAAGAGGAGGGCATAATAAAACCTGGGCTTTTACCATGCCTGACCAACGTCACTGCAGTTGCTCAAAGACAACACAGCAGGCAAAGATTCCCTTGATGCATGAACCATGGGAACGGGAGATGCTTTTCAAGCTCCTTTTAAAAACATTTATCAAGCTGTCCTCCAGTTCTAAATGCAAGTGCTGCAGACTTCAGACTCCTCAGAGAGTTGTCGTTTCTCATGTGTAATGAATCTGTCTGGGATGCCTGTCCCCACATGGTCCTTGACACATTTTGGTGTTTTCAAACTAGTTTGGATGTGTTGCTAATGAGGGCTGATCTGGTCTGCACCTAGACCTTTAGGTTCTGTTCTCTAAGGTGAACAAAACTCAGAATTTCCTATTCCTAAGGAACCTATAGACTGGGTGTGGAAAAATGGGCATTAGAGAATCTGTCATAGCTGCTCCGATGAGATGAATCCACTGCTCACAGGTAGCTGAGACACTGTAACATGTCACCATACGATGCCTTCTCTTCTGCTGCACAGGGACATCCTTCAGCAAGGTGGATCAGCAGTGGATGCTGCAATTGCAGCTCTGCTTTGTGTAGGACTCATGAATGCTCACAGCATGGGCATTGGAGGGGGCCTCTTCTTTACCATCTACAGCAGCACAGGTAAGGGACAGGGCCATACATATCTGGAACAGTTTGAGAACTGTTTATTTAAAGCAGGTAATTTATCCAACCTGAGTGAAGACTCGGACAGCTTCTGGCTGCGGGAACATACTCAAAATAATTGCTAAGAAACCGGCTCACATCGATCAGACTTCTTCAGCAGAGATCATGCCTGTGTGTTGAGTCCAGAGCCTAAACATCATCTTCCTTGCTCTGTTATTGAAGGAAAAGTGGAAATCATTAATGCAAGAGAGGTGGCTCCAAAAAAGGCATCGGAGGACATGTTTGGGAACAACACACAGCTCTCTCTGAAAGGTATGGCAAAGCCTGTTTTGCTGCTTTCTGGGGACCACATAGCTCCAACCTCTAAATTAAGAACATTTTGTATGGTTAGGTTCTTACGTATCTACATCTAGAAATGTCTATGCTTTGCACAATCTGCAAACTCCATCCTGACAAGTATTATTTTTAATAATGGCCTTCAAACTAGCCAGTCACCTCAGCACCATCTGCTTTCCACTTGATGAAAATGCAAGTGAATCCAAAGCACTGAGTATGACCTGTTCCATACCTGCCATCTTTCATTTCCACCTCTTTGAATAAATCTTTGTGGATCAAGCTAGTTCTTGTCAGTTCCAGTGTCCTTCCTAAATATGTTTTGTGGTGGCTTCAACTAACAGTTCTGGGGATCCAGAGGACAAGTAGTAATTTTCTTTCAGGGAAATATTTTCTAAATGAAACCAGAAAGAAATACTAACTACATCTCTTCATGGTCACTCCTGTATCCAAGGAGCAACAGCACCTTGGAGGGGTTTTGAAAAATGTATTGAACATCTGGGAGATGCCAATAAAAACAGGACTGAAGCAAACTGCTGCAATGCTGTGCAATGTAGCACAGGATTTATTGCAGTTGCAGTTACAATGCTGGACCAAGGTTTTGGGCTTAAGTATGTACAGTCTGTGTTCTCTTACTGCAGCGTGTTCTCCCCTGCAGAGCTGGAAACTGCAGGCAGCTGTGATAGCTTCTGTGCTCTGAGCGATTTTTCTCTGGTACAGAGCCTACTGAGGGGAAATGACCCAAAACCTTGAGTTACCAGCAAGAGGACAGAGGTGTTTCAGCAGTCCAAAATATGTAGGCATAAACGTCAGCCAGCATAACTCTGTTAGCATCATATACCTAAACTGAGCCGGTCACAGTATGTGTAATCCCTGCCTAAAACCAGGGCTGATGGAGAAGCCTGCTCTACCTCCTAACCCATTAATCGAGTCCCTTCCTTGCTGTGGAAGACTAATACATCCCTTATCTGCTCCAGGTGGACTGTCCATTGCTGTTCCAGGAGAAATCCGTGGGTATGAACTGGCTCACAAACGTCATGGCAAACTGGCATGGAAAGATTTGTTTCTGCCCAGCATCAAGTTGGCAAGAAAGGGATTCCCTGTTGGGAAAGGCCTTGGAGCAGCCATCAAATCAAGAGAGGGGTCAATTGAAAACAACCCCTCATTGTGGTAGGTAGAGCAGTTGCTGTTTTGTGCAGAGAAATCTGGGGTAAGGGCATCCTAGCTCAAAAGCCTCTGTGTTTGTGTAACACAGTGTCTGTGAGCAGTGTGCCTCCCCTCCAGTGACTGCACTTGCTGGACCTGCTGATGTTATTCCAGCTACCTGAAGGTGCTAAATCGCGTGGCCAATTTTAGGAATGCTCAGTCCTGACCTTTAAAGGGAGATAAATTCTGCTTTTAAAGTCCATTTGTCTGAGCAAAGGTGGAATTAGAGTACATGCTGGGATAGATCTGTCAGATGGCAATGTATCTTCTGAATCCCCATCTCTTCTTCATGCTCTGAGTGCACCAAGTTAATCTCTCCTGCATTTGGGGAATTGCAGAGTCTACTTGAACATCTCATCAGGTAGTGAGAATTTGGGTCATCTCTTACCCTGCAGTCAGCCTTCCTCAAGCAATGCCTCTGACCATCCAGTTCTGGCAATGACTCTGAACATGAAGGGGTTTAAATACTCCTTCACTTCTTCATAGAATCAAACCCTTAAGTGTCTATGTCCAGGCTTACTGGAGATCATACTTAACCCTCTTTTCCTTCAAATCTCTGCCAGCTGCAGGGTGGTTTCCAATCCAGTTGGGATGTACAGCCTGGGGCTATCTCCTGTACTTCCATCTGGCAGGTCCACAGCAGCACATTCATGATCCATGAGGAAGATAGAAAGCAAAGTGTCTACCTCAAAGTGCTCTGACAAACAGGGATCAAATCACATTCTCCTGGACTCACTGGAAGCTTTGAGCCTCATAGCTCAGTTCAGTTCAGTTCAGTGCTGAACTGAAATGCTTGAGTTTAAGGACTATGGCCCCTCCTGGGCATCTTGAGGCAGTTGTTGGCCCCTTGGGCAAGTAGGGAGAGTGGCTTGCCTTGGTGAGAAAGATCAGCACTCCCCCCTGCAGCAAATCCCAGCAAGGTGGAATCTCAGGTCAGAAACCACTGTTCACTTTTATGTCCCAGTGTGAGATATCAGAACCCCTGGGGCACAGCTCAGGCAGCTCCTCTTCTCTCCAAGAAGCCTCTAGCAGGAGCACCCTGATACTGTGTCAGCTGGTACAGGTACACATAGTTTTGAACTTGACCCTCAGATCTGATCTTCTCAATCTCCTTTCTCTGTTAGCGAAGTGTTCTGCAGAGGAGGGAAAATTCTGCAGGAGGGCGATATCATCACGATGCCTAAACTAGCCAACACATACGAGACTATAGCCAATGAAGGAGCAGATGCCTTTTACACAGGAAGCCTGGCAAAACAGATCATCGATGACATCCGCAGTGTAGGTGAGAAACAGGACATCTGTCCAAAACAGCCCGAGTGGCCTGCCTGCTGCGGCTCAGCACCCGGGGAGGAGCCGGTGACCTGCAGGAGCCCTGGGAGCAGGTCAAGACTGCTGCCTGAAATGCTGCCTCTGGGATCTCTGGCACAGGACACCCAAGAGAAGCCGTTAGTGCTTTAATGGATGCATTTGAAACTCAGCCAGAAACGGCTGTATATAGACCGTGCATTTGTGTACCGTAGGAACCTAGCAAGTGTCTGCGTTTCCGGATATAGTTTAGTAGATACATGTTGTTTACAGAGCCCGAATCCAACAAGTTTCTACCTAAAACGTTACATACGTGGTCCTGTAAACTCTGAGCTTGTTGAATCTCTCGGTGCCACTAGATGGTGGTCGTGTCCTAACCTTACTAGCCAGCATCGGCTAGCCTCAGTCAACCTCCTATGAGTAAGTAATTTACTGGCTTTAGTTGTGCTGCTTAATTATTGCCTTAACCCTTCTGATAAGAGAGGCAATGGAATATACAAGTTATTCTGCTTGTGGGGAGCAAAGCATCTGCACCCGAAAGCTGCATCCTTCTCCTGTAAACAGGACTCCTCAGGACGTTTTGTTACCTGACGTTGCTGGTATCCTTTGTAAAAAAAAGACCCATCACCAGATTTTGGGCTGCCATAAATCAGCCCAGCTTCGAGCTTAGGCTACCTGAGCCTCAGCTGGATCTATCGAGGAATAAATGCATCTCCTGTGCACCCATCTTTGCTCTCTTTACCTTGTGACTTTTTGGATTTGTCTGTGTTCCCTGGCGTCCTTGCTGTGGTGCATGGTGGTGGAGTATTACCCCTCTTCCCTCCAGAGATCACATAAACACACGTATCTAGTTTCCTTCTCTTTTCCAGGGGGTATTGTCACACTGGATGACCTGCGGGACTACAACGCGACAGTGATCGAAGACCCCATAGAGGTGGCGCTGGGGGAGTTTACCCTCTACACACCCAGTGCCCCCCTAAGCGGCCCAGTGCTCGCCCTCATTTTCAACATCCTGAAAGGTGAGCGTGGCCCTGAGCAGGGCCGATGCTGCCAGAGCTCCAAAGACAACCCCCTCTTTCTTTTGGGTGCTGGGCCTGCCTTGACTGACCTTCTGCAGGTGAGAAATCTGAGACCCCAGGAGGGACCAGAGATGTCAAAACATTCCTCTTCTCAGGCATGGAGCTCAGGGATGCTGCCTTCCTACCCAAAATACAGGTGTGAGAGGAGAATCGTGCTCCGACTGGGGCAGTTCCCTGGTTACCTCCACTGGTAGAAACCAGCTTGTACTTGAGGCTTCTTTGGAAAACGTCTCTGCGAGTACAGACGCTGCTGATGACTCCCATAGTGCTCAGCGCTACCAGAGCTCCTGTGCTCTCCATGCAGACATTAGGACAGTCCAGTGACTGCATCTCTGTAGAGTGTGGGCTTCAAGATTATACCATTTGATCCAGGTCTATTAGCAGTCCATTGACCACGTACTTTCCTTTGTGTTCACAACCCTTTGTCTTCTGTTGCCAGGATATAATTTCTCTGCTGACAGCATCAAAACCCTGGAGGAGAAAGGTCTGACTTACCACCGCATTGTGGAGGCCTTTCGCTTCGCCTACGCCAAGAGGACTTTACTGGGAGATCCAAAATTTGTCAACATTACAGAGGTACCTGGCAAAAGCCTTTTCTTTCTGCAACACCAAGGTTGACTGGAACGCGGATTAAGGTTTTTGGGTGACTAAACTTTGTCAGGGTTGCTCTGTGCCACTGCTATTGGCTGGCACTGAAATACCTCTAAATCTAAACATGAAGTCCTATGTGACTCATGGCTGAGCACTGAGAGATATAAATGGAAGAAACCTTCCTGCTGTAAGGAAAAGCAAAATCCTCAAATCACCAGGAGTGTTTGAGTATATTTAGGGCTAGTCCTCCCTGTTTTCATAGTGTTTGAAACTTTATTCACTAGATGCCATTCACCAGCATCCTTGTGGCTCTCTAACCACAATCCTGCCTATAGTAAATGGACCAACGGATGGGAAGGGGTGAGGCAGGAACCCATTTTTTCCCAACCTCACACTTTGTGCTTTTACTTCTGTGACTCTCCAAAAACAGCAGGATCTGAGCCGGACACAAATTTGCAACCTTAGGGCAATGATCAGAGCTTGCTTTGGTCTAGTCCTCTCAACCCGATCCCTCTCCTCTCATCTCTGAAGCAAGTGTAATTCTGCTTGCCTACAGCAGACAGCACCCTCGAGGACAGCTTTCCATAGCCCTGCAGTAACAGCTGCTGACTAACTTCCTACACAACGGGGCATGTTGTAACTGCTGCTCCTGCGGCTGCTTAAAATGCTCTCTGGTACAATGTCCGTCTTTCAAGAAGGAGGAAAGCCCCTGCTGGAAAACTATAGCCTCGCTGCTGGTATTTGCCACTCTTCTCTGGTTGGAAGTATTGGATATCGGCCTCATAACTGCATGTCTCTTAATCTGCTCAGTAACTGCATTGGATTTCTCTGGCAGGCCATTGGAAACATGACGTCTGAGTTCTTTGCGGACGGGCTCCGGAAGAAAATCACAGACAACACCTCCCACCCAGTCGACTACTATGAGCCAGTCTATTACACTGGAGACAATGCCGGTACATCCCACCTCTCCATTGTGGCCGATGATGGCAGTGCTGTGTCCGCCACCAGCACCATCAACCAATAGTATGAGCTCAGACATTACTTCCATGTAGACCTTTGCCATCTTCCTAGTGGTGGTTCTGTGGTTGGTATAAAACATCACTGACCTGTCTTCTCTCTGGTGGGGTAGTGACGGGTAGCACTTCTGCTGAGCTTGCAGGTCAGTTGTTACCACTGAGGCCTGCAAGTTTGGGTCAGAGGACAACATGTGTCCTCTCTCATGTTGGGTTCACCCACCAAGGGACTTTCACTGCATCTGGATCTTCTCATAAGCAGTGGTATTGCCACTGCTCTGAGTTCTCAGGCTTCTGGGAGGAATTTGAGCTAATGCAGCTGGCCTGGAAGTGGACTGTTTGGCTTTGAGTGCTGTTAGGGAGAGCTGTGTTCTCTGCATATGGCCGGAAACCAAGGGTGAAGGTTCTTTTTGTCTACAGAAAATGTCTCCAGCTTGACACACCTAAGCAAAGCCCAGATCATTCCAAAATGTGCCAGCCTTTGAGCTATGCTGCTCTGAACAAAGTGCAGCACTGCCAGGCTGGAGGGCAACTTAGTTGTACTTAACTGCTGGGCTGGTTTTCCCCTCGGGGTCCTTGCAGGGGAGCTACACAGCAGGGCTCTGGGCTGCCTTTCCTCCGTGTGGAGCTGGGTACTCATGGGATGAGCAGCTTCCTTCACCCAAGGGGTGACAGGATGTCCTTTATAACAGGAGGGAGTGGAGAGTTACTCCAATCAAACCCCAGGTCTCACCTTGCAGTAGTTCACCTGAAGCTCTTCCTGGATTTGCTCTGGTTTTGACATGTCTGTGCCAACTTGTTCTGTCTAGCTTTGGCTCTGATGTCCGATCCAACGTAAGTGGAATCATATTTAATGATGAGATGGATGACTTCAGCTCACCTTACATAATCAATGGATTTGGGATCCCACCTTCTCCAGCAAATTTCATAGCACCAGGTAGCTGTAAACTACCTTCCTGACTCAGTCTTTTGGCTAAATCTTGCATGCTAACACCGTGGTGTCTGCAAGGTAGTCAAGCACATCTGCAATCAGGAACAGATCTGGGGCTTTCTGCAGGGGACAGGGAGGAAAGCAAGTCACCTGGCATCCCTGCCAAAAGCACACAGCCAGTCCTGGTGCACCCTGACGGAGGAGGGGCTGACTAAAGAAAATCTCTTGTGTGGGCCTGCCTCCTTCCAAGCACCAGAAACCCTTCCCTGGGAGCTCAGTGTGTGTCGGGATTCTGCTGCCCTCCCATCCCCCACGCTTTGGAGAAGGACAGGGAAGTGAAAGGACAGGGAGGGAAGTCCCATGGTGTACAGGACGCAGCCCAAGCTGGGACAGGGTTGTGGAGAAAGGCACCTTCCACCTCTGCTTGAAGGAGCAGGGTTAACCTTTGCATTGTAGGAGAAAGGAGTTGGGATTGGGGATAGTGGAAATCCCAAAGGCTGAAGAGGACATGTGAGCTGAGCCAGGAAGGGGGTACTGAGGCTCTGGATTTAGACACATTGTAGTTTGGGGCTTGAGGGTGGGACAGGTGACAACTAGGACCTGGAGGGTCCCAGGGGGGAAGCAGTTATTCCCTCCCCCTTCCTCTTCCACACTCTATAAAGAGGCAGGAAGTGGGTGCTCCCCATTTTTGGGAGAGAGCACAGCGGGGCTGCATCCACGCAGTTCTGAGCAACCCTGAGCCATCCAAGATTGGGTTTTGTATAGCTTCTATCTATCTATCTATCTATCTATCTATCTATCTATCTATCTATCCGTCCCTTCTTGCTTTCTGTTCCCTGTTAAACAATATACTTTATTTTTCTTAACTTCCAATCGGTGCAAAGTCTGTCTTACTCCTGTCTTCCCTTTTTTATCTCTCCATCTGGGGAAAACTAAGGGATAGGGAGGGGGAGCACAAATTCTGCTCTGTGGGGTCCTGCCCCGAGCCCTTAAACAGAGACAGAACAACACAGCACCGGAGCTGGCAGTTTGTGAGCTGCAGGTGGAAAGCTGAGCCTCTGTTGCGTCTGTGTCCCCAACAGGTAAACAGCCAATGTCCTCTATGTGCCCCTCCATCTTGGTGGATAAATCAAAAAAGGTCAGGATGGTGGTTGGTGCTTCTGGAGGAACAAAAATAACCACAGCAACAGCACTGGTATGTGATGATACGGGCAAACTGGGGGCAAGGTTGAGGCAAAGCAAGGTGGGGAGAGGGGCTCCAGTCTCTGCCTGTGGTGGCTGTGGCTCCCCACTGAGGGCTGAGGCCCTGAAAGGGAGGTTCCTCCCTGGCTTTCAACGCCAACTCCTGCCAGAACTACAGAGTCGCACATCACTTCCTTCAGTGACTCCAGGTCCCTTCCTTCGGCAAGCTTGTTCTTACCACTTGCAGCAGATTTGTGACTCTAGTTTAGCTTTGACTTCTCTCCTCTGGATCTCCATGAACTAGTCTCTTTATCTAGAGCTGTTCTCATTCAGCATCCTAAGCTGTGGATGAAAGACACGCAGAGAAGCTAAATGAGAACATAGGCTAGGCATGGTGCCAGGCCATCTGACAGACAGGCTCTCTGTGAGCTGCCGTGGCAGCCACTCAGTGCTCAAGAGAGCCCAGAACTGACTGCAGGAGAAAACTGTTGCCTGTGCCAGCACACACAGGTTTGGAGCACCATGCTGGATCCTGCTTGATGCCTGAGGTAGAGAAGTCCCATAAAAACTGCTGCCAGCAGCCTTCTAAGCCCCTGAACCTGAGGCTATTTACACTTGCCAGCAGCTCCAACCTGCAGTTTAGGCATGCAGAGGTGAGCCAGGTTTAACTGGTTGCACAGCAGTGGGAAGTTCTGTAGTTGTATGTTCACCGAGGTGGCTGCTGTGTGTCTAACTATGCTGTCTCCAGCTTAACCACAGCAACATAAACCCAACTACAGTAACTTGAGGATCTGATCCTTTTACTATGTTAAATTTAGTGAGTCATGGTCTCTTTTGTGGGAGTCCTCCAGAGCATATACAGGCTGACTTGCTGCAATGTACCTGTGTTCTGCTTAGATGAGAGAGGGACTGCTGAAAGCAGCCAGGAACAGAAATTACACCTTTTTTATGCTGTGGTGAGCACCCTTCAGACATCTCTGCTTGTGTTGCTACAAGAGTCAGGCCTCTCTGAAGACCCGTAACTAACATTAAGGCTTTTTCCTTCTCCTAGACTATCATCAATTCCATCTGGTTTGGTTATGATGTGAAGAAAGCGGTGGAAGAGCCCAGAATTCATGATCAGCTTTTTCCCAATATCACAGAGCTTGAGCAGCAAATTGAGAAGGTTGGTCTACCTAGAGTTTGGGGTGAGAGCGAACTCCTTGTGTGGGCTGGGTTCCTAGTGTCGGGAAGACATGCACTTGTGGAAAGCTTTGCCAAATGTTCCTAGGTGAGCAGTGTTAAAGCTGGCACAGGTCAAGTATTGGGTCATAACAAGCTGTTCAAAGTATCCCTCTAGTCTCAGTCCCACAGGTTTAAGGCCTGGTGCATTCAAGCTTGGTCTGCATCTGAATCTGAGGGTCTGAGACATCCAGTCTTTGTGCATATCTCATCCTATGTCTCTGTATTAGGGAAAACACTCCTACATAAGCAGTTTTCTTCATCAAACTATGCAAAAGGTCCTCCTTCAATAAACTTCTCATTAAGGTAAGAGCTGAGATAGCTGCCTGCATGGAGGAGGATGCCTTGCTCTCCAAAGGCCTGTGTTTTCTCCCATTCCCAAACGGGATCCATCAGTTCTGGCTGTTGGTATAGCAGAGGCAGAATGTTCTGTGACCAGGAGTAGTACTGGCAGCCCACACTGAGCAACACAAGTGCCACATCTTCTCCAGTCCACCTTGTCAAAAGCAGGGCGTCCCAGGAAACAAGGGGAAGAGGAGGAAGAGGATGTAGTTTTAGACCTGCCTCACGCGGGTGCCATGGAGGAGGCAGGTCGCAGGCTCCAGCACGTGTGCGGCTCCTCTCTCCTGCTGTCATCACCCACCTCTGCGTTGCAGGGCCTGGAAGAAGAGCTGCAGAAGAGGAGGCACGCCACGGCGCGGGTGAGCAGCGGGGCGGTGGTGCAGGCCATCCTCAGAGCCGACGAGGGCTGGGCGGCGGCCTCCGACTCCCGGAAAGGCGGCTTCCCTGCGGGCTACTGACGCCTCGGCTCCTGCTGCTCAGTGCTCTAGTGACACTGAGGTGTGTTTGGGGGGAAGATCCTTTAGGTCTGCAACTCAGGGACTTCTCACAGGAAAGAGAACAAGTTTACCTGTGGTTCTATTGACAGAGCTGGGACAGTTCTTTACAGCCGTGACTGCGGTGCCTCATGCCGCAGCAGTCTGCCAAGATGGGCACGTCTAGCAGGACGTGCAGTACTTACTTGAAGATCCTGTTCTGCCTTGAAGAGTTTGTTCCCTGCCTCCTCTCCATCCAATGAAGACAGATTGGGTACCCAGAGTTTCTGAAGAAGGTCCAGCTCACTCAGGCTGCAGGAAGCGTTTCCCCTGCACAACATCAGCTACTAGGAATGTCCCTGGCACTGCTAGAGGAGAGATTTGTTTCCTGTTGGGTAGATGGGAGTTACAAGACTCTGGGGGCTGGGTTTTCTAAGTTATAAACTAGTAGATCTGTGCCATAGCAGGAAGCCCATCTCTAGACTGTGTTGAGCCTTCACACACTCACTTCTCTTTCTTTTAACAAAAGATGTCTCTGCTTTTCACTTCAATTGATTATTGAAGATGAGTCGGGAAATGGGGAAATGGCTTCAAACTTTTTTATATTTCTGCTGGGAAGGTCTAAAGGGAAGATGCTACCTGTAAAACTCCGAGCACAACTAAAATAAATAAATATGGAGTCACACATTTTTCTTGCCTGTACAGTTACTATGTCAAAAAGGGACAGTAAGAGTCTGCGTGAAAGGAGCTCTCCTGAGGTGTTTTTCTTTTCTTCACTCCTGTGATGAAGCTATGAATAATAAAAAAAATTAGTTAACTATCCAAAACAAGCTTGTTTTTCTCCAGTTTGCTTTTAAAAGCACTGCAGGCCTGAAATGATTTGTCAGCATCTAGGGAAATGAAACCTCTAAAAAAGGGCATTCTGCAGCTACTCTTTTGAAGGTAAGTTACCATTAATCAGACGGTTAATGACTGCTCAGAAATCCATATTTGATATGGAACAGCTGAGAGTGTCTGTACCTATGCATGAGGGGTTTTGGTGTTCACCTATCAGCATGAACTAATACATCACATCAGGAAAACTTAGCCTAAGGTCAAACCTGAATGATCCAGGAGGCTGTCAGGTGAAATCCCTGAAACACAAATAACAGTAACAGAACTCATCTATTTGCTTGTTGAAACTTCTTGTCAGTATATAAGAACCTCAAAATACAGAGAAAATGAAGATTTTCTCTAAAGAGAAAATTAAAGGCCAAAATTTTAGGCATTGGGCACCCTCTCTTTCCCAGTAGCTTCTGGAACTGATAAAAGCCTAGTTTCAAGAAATAAAGTGATAGCTAGATCTTGCTTAAATCAAAGAGTCACAACTTTAACATATAGATTTGGTTGGGTAATTTCCAGTAAATTAATAGCTTTTACTAAAAGGTGCCTGGGATGTGCTCAGTGCTCATTTTTCCTGAGCTGTTACTGATGGTGATGTGATGGTGATGTGATACAATCACTATGGCAGTGATTGTATATATCCCAAAGTCATTGTGTTCCTTTAAGAAGGAGCTTGGTTTGGGGCCAAACCTGTATCTTTTTATTGCTGAGCAGACTTTGACTTTTCTACTTGTAATTCCACAATAGATGCCCCTTAGTGGCAGGCTGCTGTTCAAATGCAGTTTGCAGGTCATTTGGGGAACACATCAGCTGCTGATTCTTGGACTTGGGGCAAGCTAAGCTCTCTGATCTGAGAAAGAAACAAAATTATTGCACAGAAAATAAGCCTACTGAAACCTTAAAGTCACTAGGGTTAGTATGAACTGATTTTCTGGGAAATGACTGGGACAAACACATTCTGAAACAAGTCTGAGTAACTGCTGCTGAGCTGTTTCTAGCAGATGATGGCACGGCAGCCTTACTCACCTTCCTGAATTTCTAACGAGTCAGAAAACTTCCCTAATAATTATAACCTATGTTACAAAACTTCCTTTATGAAAAGCTCAGATTTTACCATGGCTAAAAACATTCCTGTTGAATATCATTCTTGTAAATGAACTTGAACTCTTGACTCTCTGCCAGAATGGATCGATTTTGTTTGTCTGTTTCAGCAGTATCACCACAGAGGACTGATTTGTCAAAATGGGGCTAAGGCTCATACTTATATCCTACATGTGGGAAAAAAACCCAACCCTATGGATACTTCTAGGTGCTGTAATTATCTAGATCTATCTGACCTATAGATCTGTCTGTACATAGGGGACACACTTCTGCCACGTGCTGTGATACCACATTCCACTACTCACCCAACGCTGAGGCTCTCTGGGTATCAACAGGCACGTGCCAGTCAATGGCTCATGCTGTAAAACCTCCTGATTGCACACCGTGGCCAGTCAGCTTGTCTGAACGTCTCAGCGAGCAGGAAAGAGTTCTTCCTGCTGTCCCACCCCTTTGAACACAACCACCTCCCTGCTCTGCTTCTGAGCACAGAGACCACGTGTCAGGGCAAGCTGCCGGGCAGAGCAGGAACAGGACGTGCTGTGGTGACTGGCTCCAGCTGATTTGAAAGGGAGCTGTACTGTTAAAAGGCAATTCAGATAACGAATTGGGGAGTTCACCTCCTTCCCTCATTCTTCAGTCTAACATTACCACAATTTTCTTTTGGCAGCCATCCAGCCTCTGGAAGGTCTGCAGGGAAGGGCCACAACCACGCTGTGAGAGACAAGTGGGGCATATGCTGTTTCTCCTCTGCTTCTCCAGTGGTGTACTGAGCCTCCAGAATGAACATCTGTTACTGCTGGAAGCATCCACCTGGCATTCCTCTCTCCAACAATTGCTTGTGTGTTGGGCTAGGCAACATTTAGAGAAGAAATTCCCAGATGGGTTAAAAACCACTTTATTAAAAATATAAAGACTTCATTAGAAAATAGAGCAGCTTCTGTACAGTGATGTTTTAAAAGTCTGTGTAAGCAGACTAGATGCACAAATAATGCTCTCCTGTAGGCATGAACATGATCAGGAAGAGACCAAACTGGGAGGCGCTTGACCCAAGCAAGTTTCATCAGCAGTGAGGGGGTGGCAGGGCAAGAGCAGGGGTGCTAAGGGAGGTACAGTCCCACAGCCTCACCAGATGTTTTGCTTGTGAGGACTACAAGACTGGAAGTCTTTGCCACAGTGACAGATCTGCACTCCCCTTCCTTTCTGTCTTGCAGATTAAAGCTGTGATGGGTTTAAAAACTGCTTAATTGGCTCAGTTTCAATGTTAGTAGAAAAGTAGCTGAATTGCAGTGAGTGCTGGCCTACAAATAGTATTCCCATGTCTTCACAGTGGGAAGACGCTGTGCTAGTGATAGGCTGGATTGCTGAGGTGGGCTTTGCCCTAAGGTAGGTCAGAAGTGAAGGCACTTGGAAGCTTTGTTACTTGGTGATTTGGTTTTTCTGCTAGCAAAACATGGTGGAGGATGGCCCCAGGCACTGATGAAGGCTGCCCTGGATGAAGCCTAACAAGGAAGCAAGAACTGCTCAGCCTGTCTCCAGCCAGTGCCCTTCTCAGTTGCTTTCTGTAAACTCTAAGCTCAGTTTGGCTAGCTAGAAATAACTACAGAGCTTTCTAAAGCCAGTACCTGGTCCAGTTTGGTCCTGAAACACGACCTACAGATGGTGTCTGGTGCCCATGAGTCCTTCCCCTGTGACAACTCTGCAGTGGGGGTGTTAGTTCTGACACTAGGCCCAATGTGCACAAGAACAGGTAGCTGAGGTGAGAGAGTTAATGACAATAGAAAAATGTCAGCAATTTATATAGTTTGAATATGACTATTAAAAACCCCCAATGTAACCCCTTCCAAATGAACATAATACTGTCCCCCCCAAAAAAAAATTTCAGCCTATTCCCTTTTTCCAGTCTCACTCAGTGCTGTAACATTGTCTAACAGGGTACTGTGCCACTTCTGTGGCCTGAGCAAGCAGCTCTGAAGGAAAAAACAGAAGTCCTTCCTGAACTAGGGGATTTAAGATAAATTCCACTTGGATAAGGAAGGAGAGGGGCAGTGCATGGAGCTGGCTCTCTACAGAAGTAACTTGTCTTCCAGATGCATAAGTGCTTGTGGTTATGCTCCGTTAACGTAGGAATACTTTTTCATTAAGCTCTGATACAGCAGTGGTCGTTCCATAGTCCTTCATGTACAACTTCTGAAGGAAAACAGATGTCTGGCTATAGTCAGCTTTTCTCAGGCCATCATTAGAATGCAAGTGCAGGCTCAGTTTTTAATAAGCATATGGCTTCATTGGAGAGACTTCATGGGCAAGAATGTAGGTTTTGAACTTATCTGGCCTAGTTTGCATGGGTGTGTGTGGATGGCCTTGTTTTGTTTTTTAACAGCATGTGCTCAGATACTTGTGGTGTTTACAGAGGGATTTTATTTGTGTACTAGGGATACCAGGGGCTGTGTGTGAAGTAAGAAATAGCATGTGGAAGGAAGAGTTCTGCTGGTGCTTCACTCTGGTTTGGCTTCACTTTCAGACACACACTACTGTCTGTGCTCATAGGGACATATGGCTCAAAAGCTTGCAGAAAATTGTTTGGGATCATGGGAACTTGCTTCCGGGTATTTGAGAAGAGCTTTGGGGTTTGGGGCTTTGTGATTTGTGGGTTTGTTTTCTTCTCAAATGTTCGACTCCCTTGGCCATTTTGAGAAGGGCAAGGTTATGTAGTTAACTACAAAAGATCCAGGTGTCCAGGTGCGTAAGTTCAGGGCTCACCTCCAGAAGTGTTCTCTTTCTCTGTGATAGTTCGTAAGTAGTCCTATGATTTTCTCCTTGTGATCTTAAAGGAACACTAGAGACTAGTTGTGGTCAGCAGGGAGCTGGAGTATTCCCTTAGGCTGTGGGAGAAAAGGATTCTGCTAAGGCCTGATAGCTGCATCACTTCTCAGCAGTCCTGGTGTTTGCCTGGCCAGGCTGAGCTCATGGCTACAGTTGAATTCTTCTGAGGTTGTATCCTTTGC